AGCCACTGTGCCTGGCCTATGGATATGGCTTTTTAAAAACACTGTTCTTTTCCCTGACTTTATTTGTCATCAATGCAAATACCTTATATTTCTTGCACATTTACAGGCATTATTCATACAAGACTATGGAGTATACAGTTTATGATAAAAACCTTGTCTTCCTTTAGGGGCTTGTGTTTAGTTGAGATTGATGATGGCAGATGTGAAATTGCTAAATGGTATATAATTAAAAGTGCCAGAGGAGTGGTGGAGAGAACAGAAGTTCTTAGGAATTCAGAAGACGGAGGAAGTCTTTGGGAGAGAGGTGTGTAGAGGAGATGAGGCTATTGAGGTTAGGTAAGGGTTAGGTATAATACAGAAAGATCAGAATTGGCCAGAACAGACCTAGATTCTTCTGGTCCAAAGTATGTATGGAATACCTCTTAAAACAGATATTGAAAATTTCCTCAAGTACCAAATCTTCCCTTAGTCTAAATTATATTGTTAGAAGTTGGAAGTACCTGATACAAAAACTTTGTGCAGTTTTATATAGAGATGAGGGCAGTGTGTGTTTTTCCACCCCATATTGGATTTCGGTACCTTATGGGCATTAAGTTCTATTTGCTTATTTCTTTATTTTCTTTCAGTGGTCGTTGAACCACACTTACTATATTCCTTTTTTCACAGTCCCTGCAACCTTCTAGGATTTCTTTTCTTGAAACTTTAGAGAAACTATTCTTGTAGTAGTCACTGATTTCCACATTCTAAATCTACTGGCCAGGCCGGGCGCCGTGGCTCACACCTGTAATCTTAGCACTTTGGGAGGCTGAGGCAGGAAGATCGCTTGAAGTCAGAAGTTTGAAACCAGCCTAAGCAAGAGCAAGACCCCGTCTCTACTAAAAGAGAAATAAATTAATTGGCCAACTAAAAATATATAGAAAAAATTAGCCGGGCATGGTGCCGCATGCCTGTAGTCCCAGCTACTCAGGAGGCTGAGGCAGTAGGATCGGTTGGGCCCAGGAGTTTGAGGTTGCTGTGAGCTAAGCTGACGCCACAGCACTCATTCTAACATAGTTGGCTATTCTCCCCACCTGTTGGTGTGGTTTTTTTTTTTTTTTTTGATTGATACCTTTATTTTTAATTGGTTTCCCCAACACCATACTTTCTTGATTTTTCCTTTTCTATCACAGTTAGTGCTTTAGCAGTCTTTGTTAGTTTCCTTTTCTGGTTTTATTTCATCTCAGCCTCATAAACTTGGAGTTCTAGGAGTCAGTCCTGCCACAGCCTCCTAACTTACCTCCTCCTGTCCTCTGTTCTTGTACTCCTGTTTTCAGAGTGACTGTATTAAAACCTTATAACAGGGCTGGGCAACGGTGGCTCACGCCTGTAATCCTAGCACTCTGGGAAGCCGAGGCAGGATGATCTCTCAAGGTCAGGAGTTTGAAACCAGCCTGAGTAAGAGTGAGACCCCATCTCTATCAAAAATAGAAAGAAATTAATCAGCCAACTAAAATATATATATAGAAAAAATTAGCCAGGCATGGTGGCACATGCCTGTAGGTAGTCCCAGCTACTTGGGAGGCTGAGGCAGAAGGATTGCTTGAGCCCAGGATTTTGAAGTTGCTGTGAGCTAGGTTGATACCACAGCACTTTAGCCCGGACAACAGAGTGAGAGACTGTGACTCAAAAAAAAAAAAAAAGAAACAAAAAAACATTATAACAGTTAGTGTACCTTCTCTGCTCTGAACTTTGCAGTGGATTTTCCTTTTACTCAGAGTAAACCAGGACCCCTATTATCTCTTGGACCTCCTCTCCTACTATTTTCTTTTGCCAGAAATCCAATTTCGGCACACTGGCCACTTTACTACTCTTTGAATAGTCAATAGGGCTTTTGTCCCCTTAGCTGGAATACTTTCCCCCAAGGTAGCCACATGGTTAATTCCTTCACTTTCAAGTCTTTGCTCATATGTCACCTACTCAGCAAGGCCTACCTTTTCCACACTGTTGTTACTGCTGTTATTTTTTAGTACATAATTGATCATATTTAGTTTCAATATAAACAGTAATTGATCCATGACTTTGAACTGGCAGAAGCCATTCCACCAACCCAGAGAGTAAATAAATGTTTACCTTAAGTTCCAATTGTATGTAACACACATGCTTCAGAAAAGACAGGCCAACAATGCCTAAACTCTTTATTTTACCAACCAGTATTTACTTTGTTTCATTCTTTTTTTTTCTTTCTTTCTTATTTTTGGAGACAGGGTCTTGCTGGAGTATAGTGGCACCATCATAGTTCACTGTAACCTTGAAGGGATCCTCCTGCTTCAGCCTCCCAAACAGCTAGGACCACAGGCACATACCACCATATCTGGCTTATTTTTTTTGACTTTTTGTAGAGACAGGGTCTCCCTTTATTACTCAGACTAGTCTTAACCTCCTGGCCTCAAAGCGATCCTTCCACTGTGGTCTTCCAAAGTGCTGGGATTACAGGCATGAGCCACCCTGCTAACCCAACTAGTATTTCTGATTATCTTCCTGATGCTGAATTTAGAAACCTTAGGAGTCTACCAGTATAGCATTCAGGCTTTCTATATCCAGAGAAAGGGGCCCAGAGGCAGAAGAAGTCAGGCCCCAGGCTGTTTGGGGATGGGAAAAGTGGCAAAGATATCTCTGTAATAAACAGTCTGTGTCTGTTTTCTAACTTAAGTTCAATGCTTTGTGTCTCATCATCCCCAGAGTTTTCTCCATGGTATCTATGACAGAAAAACACTCCTCTCCTATATACACAAAGCCATTGGGGAGTAGGGGGCATGGCGTGGATATTACACAGGCACCAGCCAAACTTTTTATTGAGCCAGAAAATGGATTTCTGATTTAGTTTAATGACAAGGAGTTGTGTAAAACTGGTGTCTTGCTATTCCTCAATGTGAGCTGGGTTGGATTTTTATAATTAGAAGCATTTCCCATGATAATAGTGAATTAAATGCTATAAAAAATAAAATTGATCCTGTGTCCATGAGTAGCAAAAGAGCTACTTGCAAAAATCTAGGGATGCCCATGTCCCATCCACACATGGCTACATGAGAAGCATATAACATGACACTTCTGTCATCTTTTTGAGGGGAGGAGAGGAGGATGGGACAGTGCTTAGGGATGGATTCTTTTTATTCCCCCTACTACCAAAACCTATAGATCTACACATGCACACAGATAGATATACATATCCATTTTTAAGAAAGGTTTTCCTTCCTGAATCCCAAAATCATCCTCCCTCAGGCTGAAAGACAGTGCCTATTAACTGCACAGATCTAGTGTATAAACATCCTATAGATGTTTCTCTCATTAATTGTGAGGGGCAGAGGCAAAGAAGTGAGTTTTCATGGGTCATTTGCATTTTGTCTTAAACCCAATCTACTCAGCAACATGCTCAGGTGGAGGGGCCGGGAGACGTTCTGTGGGTACAAAGTCTCTGTGCGCTTGGTTTCTAAACACCTCAGAAAAGCTTGAGTCCAGCACAGCAAGTGAGCAGTCTACATTGAGAGAGGCCAGGAAGGGAACGCTATAGGGAGAACACCAGCCCAGTGACACATTGGGAGTATACAGCTGAGCTGAAGGCACAGCTTGCATTCTTGGTGTCCATAAGGGAAGCAGTCCCATTCTCATTACCAAAGACAAAGACTTGACTTTGCTGAGAATGTCAAGCCAGGTAGGAAGATAGCCAGAGACATTGCAGCCCATCTGTGATGCTACCTTGGGACAGCAGGTATCCCAGAGTAAAATTCTGTTGTGCTCACTGAGTGAAAAAACCACAAGAGTCCTTGTGAGGAAAGGCAGCAGCACAGATGACCTGCCCAGCAGAAGCTCAGTATGAATTTGGTACCATCTGCTGAGCAAGGTCCCAAACCTTGATCCAGAAGTCTTTGCTACCACTGACAGCTTATGTGCCAGAGCTCAGGACACTGATTGTAAACAGTGACATCATGCTTATACTTACAGAACTTGCTGATAGTGTCTCATTCTCATCCAGCTCCTACAATTCAATAGCACGTGAATTGGGAGCCACTGGGATACCTTTGTCTCCCACTCAAGTGAAGTCAGCCGCTCTGACTTCTATCTGGACTCTGGCAGAGCAGAAGCCTTCGTTGGGGGCAGCACAAAGGTCCTTAAAAAGCCAGAGTGGCCAGGTAGCTTCCAAGAGTCCTCTCCCAGTGGAATCACACGGGACACACTTCATTTCTCCAGCAGTGGGTTGTGACGAGTATGAAGTATTGTCTACCAGGAAGCACATTAGAAGCTCGGTGCCCAGGTTTTTTATTGGGGGCTAGTCATGCAGGCACCCTCTGCCTAGAATGTACCCCAATTCTAGATTCCTGGAAGGAAAGCAGGTGTTAACCATAAACCACATTGTAAAACAGTTTAGGCACAATGAGCCATTCTTATCAGTCAGGGAATGGAGGGAACTCTCCAGAACTCCAAGTTACCATATACTTGCCATGGGCCAATATTGCAAGGAAGACTTTCTAAGGATAGCATTCTCTGGCCTCTTATATTAACTCTTTTCTGTACATGATGGCGTCCAAAGAAGTTTGTTTTTTCTTCTTTATATAGACTATAAAACATTTAGACTAAATCATCTCTCTTTAGGAAATTCTGTAACAGCCAAAATGTTTTGAGAATGACTTAAACAGTTTTAACTGGGTTGAATAAATGAGTTTATTCACTTAAACATATTCTTTGAAATAATAATAATGCCTTGATACTATTATCCACAGTCTGTGCTGATTTTTGTAATTATTAAAGTGGCTTATTTCGTTGTAAAATTTTATTTCCAAAAATAAAAAATTAAGATATCTTTCTTAGTATTCACTTGAAAAATAACACCTGTGAATATGACTGTCAGCTTCAAAGCAGATACTGATTTTTCTTCACTTTTCTTCCATCTTTCATGGTCTAGAGGGCCTATTTGAAACTTGCCATCTTTGGATTTGCTTTAGTAACCACCTTTCTTTTTTTTATAGGCCAAGATGCTGAATTATCAGGGACACTTTCACTTGTTTTGACACAGTGCTGTAAAAGAATAAAGGATACCGTTCAAAAATTGGCCTCAGACCACAAAGACATCCACAGCAGTGTTTCTCGCGTTGGAAAAGCCATTGATAAGGTATGGTACTGAAGAAAGTGTTTTGTAATTTTGAGCATCATCCTTTTTCTTCTGTCATTACTTTGGTAACACCGGTTTTCCCAAATTATTTTATGCTATTCCTTTCATCTTTACTTTTGATGACTTTTGCAGGTCTAGTTTTACTGTGCTAGTCTTATTAATGTTTTCTGTTGCTAATATTTTAAAAAAATAAAAACAAAACAAAAAACCTTCTCCTTTTATAGGTTTGTTTATCCTTTTTCTTATATGACTAGAGCTCCTAGGGTCATGATGAATAAAGTTCCAAAGAAATTTAAACCAGTATGTGGGAAGTTGTTTGTAAGAGTAACCCTAAGTAATTCCCTGGCTGTGACTCTGTCTCTGTTAATAGGATGATTAGAATAATACCCTTGCATCTGTCTCCCTTGCATCATCCTACCTCTTTTCTTCCTATGGTCACATCAGTTGCTTTTCTTCAGTGATGTCTTCTGTGTGAATGAGTGGGTTGGTTGCTAGCTAGTGAGGCTAGTCACTTTTGTTGTAGGATTTTTTCTTGTGACATTTCTTGAATAAGCAATCTTTGACTTAGTGGTTGGCTTATAAGCAGTTACCATTTTAAATACTGGAGAGATTGTGATTGGTCGCGGGTATTTCTGTTCGGATATTATAAACTTCTGGGAAGATAGGAAGAACTTTTGAGGAGACCTCTTTGTAGCAAAGGTATCTCCCAAACAGTCTTAGGAGTTACTTAATCTATATGCACAAGAGTGATAGCTGTAATATAGATAATAGCAGCTCACTGAATCCAGAGAGTGGTTCCATCTAACTCATGGGTAGGCCTAACTATTAGAAATTATCCCATAGAGAACAAGTATTGAAAGGCTATGCTTGAGGCTGCCTGAGTCAGAATTGTTTGCTTCTAAGGCCGTGGCATTTGCTGTTAGTTATGACCGGGACTGTGAGTGGCAGGGGTTCTGGGGATGTATTTTGGAAGTCATGGCTTACAGAAATGTTAGTGTCCTTTCAGAGAGCTCTCACCACTCCCATGGTGGTGTGAGGGCTTTGACTCAGCAAAAGAGTCAGATGTTGACAAGCAGCAGGGTTCCAGCCACATTGTTGAATCAGTGATGGTAGTCACCAGCAAAGGCTGGAGGGCAATGAGTATTCTCTGAAATAGCTTTGAGGTTGTGAGGCCTGTTAGGCAACTCCAAGGGAGTGAACACAGCTTTGGAAATGGGTTTGGCATTAAACCTGTTTTGGACAATGGCATTGGAAATCTTCAGTTGGTGCCTGCTGTGGTTGTTGGTGTGTATTAGCTTAAGGACTGTGGGAATGGTGGTGGGACACTTTAGAGATGATCTTAAATCACTGTGCAGCCACAGTTTCTCTAGGGTACCGTAACTACTGGTGGTTCTTAAGAAGCTTCAGATTTTGGTGGTTGACAGTGGCCAAGGCATTCTGGTGAATTCTGATGGCTCCAGGGGACATCTACTTGACCACCAGGCTGCCTGCAATTATCACAGAGAGCATCTTGACAGCCGAACAAGACAACCATGACAATGAGAAGAACTAAAGCTTTCATGGCAGCTAATCAGAGAAAGTGTCTGGGAAGAGATCTCAGATTCTCAGAATAAGTGGATATGGTCTCAACATCCGTACCTCAAGAGTGTGGGTGACTGACCACCAGGATTTTGAGCTGTTGGGCAAATCCCCAATTTTGCATTCTGCTACTGGTAGGGTGACTATATATGTCCCTGCTTCTAGTTTATGTCTGTTGTCCTGTCATAATTACCAGAATCCTCTTTTGCACTAGTCTGCTTTGCTATTGGTGACTTGCTGAGCATGTCTTCCTCCAGATCTAGCTGGTCTTTCCAGATATTCATAAGGGCTGTCAGATGTTTCAACCTATCTTTGAGGCAAAACATTTAGATGTACTTGGTGCAAAAAATTATAGTCTCTCTTTGAGAATGGATATCAAGGGTACACATTTATAGTGAATAATCAACATTCTGGCTTTTGGTGGAGGGATGTGTTTGAGGTGAATGTTCTTGATTATGTATTTTGATGTACTCATTACTCTTTTGAGGACCTTTTTTTCATGTACTTGGAAGTTATAAGAGCTTTTTCAAGTAATTCCTTTATAATTTCTTTCAAAAAATTATTTCATGTTCCCATGGTAAAAGTAGTTTAGGTTCTAGGTGACCTGGATTCTGGATTCTTATTATTATATAAAACTACATTATTTAGTTGATACTGATAAGTATTTGTTGTATTATAGTTCAGAGCCACAGAGGAAATCCTGGATCTTTTAGCCAAGTTCTTTAACATCTTTCAGTGTACTTTTTCTTGATATTTTTGGCATCTACTTGGCCTCAGTGGAAGAGGAAGCTGTTTCCCTACTTAGAACTACCTAGATGTTGTGAATGGGCTTTTTGCATATGTGAGGAATTCTGTGCTGCCTGTTGTCACATTCATTGACTTGTTAAGTTCTCCAGCTCTTTTAATTTGAACCTGGTAAAATTGTGTAAGCTCAGGGCTGCCTATTGTAAAGGCTGGGTGGACTCATGAATTGGTAGTGAACAAACAGGATAAAGCTGAATCCATTGTGGTACAAGGCTTGTAAGTGCCACATCAAACAGACCTAAGTAATAAACTGGAATGCTGTCCATCAGCCTTGAGCACCAGTTTATGGACATAAGTAAGCTCCCACCCTCACAAGATGAGGACAGTGAAAGAAGCCAGTGACTCCTTTGCCAGAACTCTGATTTTGAGTGAGAAACTTTAGTAAATTTTTGACATGCTAAATGGTAATTTTATTTTTCCTTTTGTGTTTTAATACTTCGTGTGTTTTAAAGTTTTCTAATTATCACTTCTCTGAAAATGTAAGCAGAAAAGAAGTTTCTAGCGGTGTTAGCCAAGGCATTGTCTGGCTTTTAATTATTGTGAACATAAAAAGTTGTTGAAGATTTCTGCTTTAATGTGTTGACTATTTTCAGATGCCCACAGTATGATCACTATTTAAAATAAATAATATCAGTTGGGTTCTATGACAAAAATTTTTGTTAGTAAAAAGAAACAATGTGTTGGGCTGTTCTTAATTTCCTCCCCTATTTTTAGAATATCTAGAATTCTGTCCTGTTTAGAGCATTTTATTTAGTGTTTTACTAAGTTATTTGACTTTTTAAAATTTACTGCCTAAGAAAAGTCAGTAAAAATGATTATTGCTTTAGACTTTCAGGCATATGTGTATGTGTTAAAATAAATAGAACTCGAGGGGGGAGAGGGCCATGGGCAATATATGTAACCTTAACACTTGTACCCCCATAATATGCTAAAATAAAAAAAAAAAAAGAAAAAGAAAAAAAAGGAATAGAACTAAAGATTTTAGGGCTGTGCACAGTGGCTCACGTCTGTAATCCTAGCACTCTGGGAGGCCGAGGCTTGTGGATTGCTCGAGGTCAGGAGTTCGAAACCAGCCTGAGCAAGAGCAAGACCCCGTCTCTACTAAAAATAGAAAGAAATTAATTGGCCAACTAATATATATAGGCCGGGCATGGTGGTGCATGCCTGTAGTCCCAGCCACTCGGGAGGCTGAGGCAGAAGGATTGCTTGAGCCCAGGAGTTTGAGGTTGCTGTGAGCTAGGCTGACGCCATGGCACTCACTCTAGCCTGGGCAACAAAGCGAGACTGTGTCTCAAAAAAAAAAAAAGATTTTAAAGTGTCTAAAATCTGCTATTGTATAGTTAAAAGCTAAACACACAGTACATGTCTTTTATAAGATTGCAGTCTGATTTGGTACAAAAAGTGCTTTTTGTACACATAAAATAACTGGAAAAATTCTGAGGCAACATAAGATAAGTTTGCAAAGACTGGGTGGACACTGCTTATTATAAAGTAAAGGAAAAGATTGTTTTTAATTAATCTAAGGTTTGTGGAGTTGGTGTCCTAAATTTGACTTGGGAGAATGTGTAAGGTTGAGAGCAGCAGAGCAATGAAATGTGATTGTGGGGCTGGGGACAAGGCAAAACAGCAACTGAGAATATACTTGACTCATGTTAAAGACTCTTTAAGGATTGACTTGATGGAGTGGCTGCCACTGTTGGGAATAGGGAAAGATCAGGTTGGGTGAAGGCAAATGACGGAGGAAGGCCCAAGGGATGTGGATTTGATCTGAGTAGGAGAGTAAGGGCAAAGGGAGTAAGTGATGAAAGTAGTTGAAGATTTGCTTGCTCTCATTAACTAGGATAAAAAGAGACTAAGTAGTAAGTCATTGGTAGGGAGATAACAGCTATCATTTACTAAGTGTTGACCATGTTCCAGATACTGAGCTGAGTGCTTTTTATACATTTATATCCCATAATGTAAGTACATTATTCCTATTTTACATATGAGGAAAGAAACTAAGATTCAAAGATATTAAATAACATACCCCAGGTATATAGCTTGGAAGTGGTAGATCAAGCTTTGGAAAAAGTTTCAGTCAAGAATCTGTTCTTAAACACGGTGCTAAACTAGAAAATCAGTGAGGCCATTTCAGGGCTGGTAATGTTGCAGGGGGAAAATATAATAATAGTGAAAAAAAAATTTTAGCTGCATTGTCTAAATCAATCTTCTACCACTAGGTGGAGTATCTATATTGGTGAGGCGAAGTGCCAACTGTGTTGAAGATTAAGTGGAGTAATGGTGAAATATGGAATACTTTAAGACTGTTCTGAGTGAGCAGTCCATAACTGCCTTTTATGTAGGTATGACTGGAGTATAAGAGGAGAAAATGATAACAGTGGTAAGATCCTTGTATTTAGCTTTAAACAGTAGCTCAAAGTGATTGAATTAGATATATGCTAGCTCTAAAATTCTGTTGCGTAATGAATGCTTATGTAGTAGAGGAATGTTAGTGTTAAGGAGGGAAGAAAGGAAGTTAAAAAGACTAGAAAGTTTGCTCTGATTAAGAAGAAAAAATTAAGTTGAGTTCTGAAATACTTAATTTTTGATATATGTTTTGGGTAAAACTTTTAAAATTA